GCGAGGCAGCAGCTGCCAGTGCTGGTTCTTGTCCGTGGGTGGTCGCAGTTCCATCCATTCTTCGCAACCGAGACCACAACGCACATGCGCACGCATGTGAGAGAGGGCATGCATGCAAATGAGGGCCCACATGCAATTCCAACATGGATGAGTTATGTGCACGCACGCACGCACACGACTGAAAGCAAGCACACGCACACGCATACGCACACGCACACACGCACACGCACAGGAAAGCAAGCAGATGTGTGCTCCTGTCACCCATCCGCTCCTCTTCCTTTCCTCACCCATTCCGCACCCCCCTCCCCCTCCCCACTTTTGGGTATGTTCATTCAGAGAAAGACATACTTGCATCTGGTGGCCCGTAATCATCTGTGCGATAGTACTTGTGCTTCGATTCCCATCGTTGTCGGTTGATGGGGCCAAGGCACAGGACACAGCACAGCTTCAGGGACGACATGATGCTCGGCACATCGTAGCCGAGCTCCTTTCGCTTCTTGCGCAGCTTGTACTCATCTGATGTTCGCCAATACAGGTAGCTGGCGCCGATCACATACACCACCGCCGCGGTGAAGAACACCGCCACCTCCCATGTTTCCGCCATCACTTCCCCGTTCACGAGCGTACGCGCCTTTTCCTTCTCGCCCTTCCTTCTGCCTGGTTGCGGCGCTGTCACGTCAGGCAACGAGTGAACGAACAAATGAATGAAGGAATGAATGAATATGGCTTCTCGGCTAGACCAGCAGCGAAGGTGGTGTGGGTGGGTGCAGGGTGCTGTGAGAAGGGAGGAGTGCGTTGTTGTTGTTGGCTGACTGGCTGGCGTTCAGCTGTGCAGATGTTTCTTTGGTATTTTCTACCGTTTTTCCGCAACCGCGTCTGCTGCCTTTCCGCCTGTTGACTTTTGCTTGCTGAAGTTTGTGCGTGTGTGACGTGCTGTCGCTCTGTCGCCGCTTTTTGTTTGTCCACCAGACTTGGGAACAACGACAAGGGGACACCGCCACCGCTGACTCAGCGAGCCAGTGATTGGTTGGCTCAGTGCACTCATACGCACAAACACACAACATCCCCACACTTGATCATCGCACACGCACACGCTTTGGTTCACAACACGCAACCCTGTGCCATGGCGGAGGCCCAGTTGCTGGACCTGCCTGGGGAGGTCTTGGAGAATGTGCTCCGCTTCCTCGACCTCATGTCGCTGTATGCAACGGCGCTGCAGTGCCGCGCGCTCAACGCGCTGCGCTGGCCCATCATGGACCTGCGGAACATCCCCATGCACAAGCTGACGCAGGAGACGTTTCGCTACATTGTGGAGCGGCGCAAGCCCGAGGTGCTCCTGCTCACGGGCGTGCTCGGCTGCCCCCGCAGCGCCATGCCGTTTCCAAACGTCGAGGCCATCGCGCACAGCAAGAGCCTGCGCCACCTGGGCTTGGAGGCCGCCTACGTCGGTGATGAGGGCATCCGGGCGCTCAGCGCTGTTCTGCCGTTCCTGGACACGCTGAACCTCAAGTTCAACAACATCACGGGCAAGGGCGCCGCTGCCCTCGGCGCTGCGCTTCCATCGGCCCACCACCTGCAGTCCCTCGACCTCTCGGGCAACCCCATCTGTGACTCCGCTGGCATGGAGGACCTGTGCATGGGTCTATCTGCCGCCAAGGGCCTGCGTGTCCTCACATTGCGCGACGTCCGACTCAAGGGCGCCGGCACCACGGCCTTGGGCAAGCTGCTGGTCGCCCTGCCCACCCTGCACGAGCTCGACCTCAGCCGCAACCCCATCGGCGACTCGGGCATGGACAACATTGCCAAGGGGCTTGCAGCCTGCACATCGCTTCGCACCCTCACTCTCGCCAACGTTCAACTCAACAACGACGGTTTGTTCCTTGCATGCTGGCTTTCTTTTTGTTTGAGGAAAGGGAGAAGGGCGGTGGCTTCCACCTGCCTTTGTTGTGCTTGTTTGTGCATGTGCATGCATGCTCATGTGAGCTGACCAACATGCAAATTGGAGGGAGGGGGTGTGAAAGATGGCCGGTCCTGCACGTTGTGCGAATTCCTTCCGGCGTTCTGTCTGCTTTGTCGTTTTCCCGCAAGCAGCAAGCACACCTTTCCTTCGCTTCCTGCCTCATGCACACTCACACACACGCACTCACACATACACACACACACGCACGCACACACGCACACACGCACGCACACACACACACACACACACACACACACACACACACACGCATACACACGCACACACATACATACACACACACACACACGCACACACACACACGCACACACACACACGCACACAGGTGTGGTGCATCTGGCGTCCGCCATCCAGCAGTGGCCCAACCGCAGCCTGCGCCAGCTCGATCTTGCAGACAACACCTTCTCCTCAAACCTCGACGCGCTCGGCCTGGCCCTTGCTCAGCAGGAGTCTCTACAGCGCGTCAGTCTCGCGGGCTGTAACCTGCAGCGCCTGCCCGTGGCAAGCGTGGCGGCCCTGCTGTCCCACTGCGGAAGTGCGGTGGTTGACCTGCGTCGCTGCCGCATCTCAGACGACAGCTGCACCAACATCGCCACAGCCCTGGCCGACGGGGCATCCCCATCTGAGCTGGAGCTGAGCAGCAACGCCTGCGCTTTTGCCAGCATGCAGCAGCTTGGCCTGGCCATGGCAAGCAACACGACGACAACCGTGCTCAAGCTCAACTTCAACTCGCTCGGTGACAGCGGCATGCGTGCGCTGTGTCGGGGCCTCATGTCCAACACGGCGCTACGCGTGCTGCACGTGGCTGACAACAACTGCGGCGGTGCTGGTGTGGAGGCGCTGGCCAAATACGTTGCAGCCACCGCCACCCTGCGCGAGCTTGATCTCTCCGGTAATCAGCTCATGGGCAACGCCGCGGCGTGTGCTGCCCTCGGGCGTGCGCTGCGGGACAACAGCAGCATCGCCACCCTGCACATGTGCAGTGTTGGTCTGCTGGGGTCCGACGTCACAGCCATGGTGGACGCCTGGCTCTCACCCCCTGCACCACACCCCGCAACAGCAACAACAGAAACAGCACCACCAACAGCAGACACAGCAGCAGAAATGGCACAGCAGCCGCCCCAAGGTGATGAGGAACAAGCAGCGCGGCCGCGCAACCAAGGAGAGTCGCAACCACAACCTCCAGCACAAGCACAACAGCAGCAGCAGGAGGAAGAGGCACTTGTTTCTCCACCGCCATCAGTACCCGCAACCACGCATGTGCGTGTCACCCCGACGCTGAAGAAGTTCAACCTGGCCGGCAACGAGCTTGAGGACGAGGGCGCCACTGCAATTGCGCGCTTGCTCATGCGCGACACGACGCACATCAGGGACCTGGACCTGTCTGGAAATATGATTGCCAGCGGCGGGGTGGACCGAATTGCCACCGCACTTGCCACCAACACGCGCCTGCGCCGCTTGCGCCTGCGCAACAACAACATCGGCGCTGCTGGTGCTGCTGGCCTTGGCAAGGCGTTGAGTGGCGAGTCAATGTGTGCGCTGGAATTGCTTGATCTCAGCCGCAACCAGCTGTGCGACGAAGGCACCGTACAGCTGTGCCTTGGCCTGCAGGGAAACGCCCACATCAAGTGTCTGTCGCTGGCACACAACTGCATTGCGAACCGCGGTGCGGAGGCGCTTGGCACGCTGCTAGGGCTGAGCACCGCGCTGGAGTGCCTGTCCATCGAAGACAACAAGATGGACTGCACTGGCGTCGCTGCCATCACCATTGCGCTGCAGCAGAACCTGCGCCTGCGCGAAATCAACATGCGCAACGTTGGCGTGGACACGGAGACGTGCCCGCTTCCACCGCGGCGTGAGGGCTCTGGCAGCAACCGCTATGTGCGCGTCATTGCGTCACACAAGGACCACTGCCTTCACCAGAAGGCCCTCGAGCACCTGCCAGACTTTTGATCGGGGAGGGTCACCCTAGTATGTGTGTGTGTCTGTGTGTCTGTGGGGGATGGTTGCCGCAGCTCGCAATTGTCGTCGTTGTCGTTGCACGCGGCGGGCAACTTGCGGGTTAATTTGCCACACCCCTGCTGTGTGAGCGTGTCTGTCACGCGCCATTTCTGTGCCTCTTGTTTTTCTCTAGCGTTGGTTGTCATAATCATGCGCGTGTGTGTTACCCCCTTCTTGCTTCTCACGTCTGGTGTTAGCGTTCTCGCCATAGCTGGTGGCGCTGTTGTGTTGACGTTATTGCTCACTCCGTTATTGTTCAATCCGTCCTAATATCGTGTATTGGTTGCTTTGGAGGAAGCGCGTGTTGCGCCTGGTGCTGTTATGTTATGACGCAATTTGACACAGCTACCGTCATCCACATCTCGCATGGCCAGATGACACACACACAACAACAACAACAACAACAACAACAACAACAACAACAACAACAACAACAACAACAACAACAACGTGAGGGGTAAGCAAGGAGGTGATTTGCATGAACGAAAACCAATAGTTGCAATCGAAAGAGGAGGGAAGAACGAATAAGAAGAAGTTTGCTGTTGCTGAGAGGTCACAACAACGCTGCCTGGTTGGAGAGAGAGAGAGAGAAGAAGAAGAAGAAGAAGAAGAAGAAGAAGAACCTAGTCGAATGTTAGCGGAAGGAAACCAAGACACAGGGCATACACACGCTTGCATGCATATGCAGTGTGTACGTCAGCGCAGGCTGAGTAAAAGAGGGTGAATGGGGCTGCAGTAAGGAAACGGCGCTTAGCAGCAGCACAATATGAACACACGCCAAAGAAAAGACAGTGGAGGCAAAGGTGGCGGACACAGGAAGAAAAAAAAAAGAAGACAAGAGGCTGTGAGAGCAAAAGACCATTAACATAAACGTAACCTAAAACGCATCAGTGGGTCGAGCGGTGGCCACAGTTGCCTTTTGCACAGCAATGGGCGAAAGGGAGTGTGGCAGAACCAGGGCGCTGACGTCAACGTCAAGGATGCAAAGTAACAACAACGGCAACAACTGACGCCCGACGGGGGCGGGTGCAAGCGTGCATCAAAAACGCTGGTTGAGAGCTGCAACGAACGTGGTTCGTTCACCAGGTGGCCGGCTCATCATCGCGCTCGTCCATGGCGTGTGCTGCGGACACGGATGCCGTCGCCACGATGCTGCCGGACATGTACACGTGGCGCACCCCAGTGCCAGGGAAAGCATCTTCACCAGCACGAGCAGTAGCACCACCGCCTTCCTCGTCCTCGAGTCCATCGTCGCCAACGTTCTCGCCGCCATCGACAGCATCGTCGGCATCATCATCGTCGTCGGCATCATCATCATCATCATCGTCGGCATCATCATCGCGCCGATCAGCACCCTCATCCTCCTCCTCCTCCTCCTCCTCGTCGCACTCGCCGCCGTTCTCTGCCAGCTTCTTGTTCGTTGCGAGGTACTCCTGCACCACGAGCGGCAGTATCGACGACTCCTCCCGCCCAAGATCAAAGTGCTGCAGCGTGCGGTTCTCCGCAAACAGCGCAAGCAGATCCTCCATGTGCTCGCGCACATTCACGCACGTGTTGATGAGCACGAGCGTACGGATGGTTGTGTTTGTGCGCAGGGCCCGCAGCAAGTCCCTGAACTCCGCGTGGGAGAAGGTGCTCTCGCTTCGGCACGCAAACGTGATGGCGACGCCCGTGAGGCGACCGAGCAGCGCACACGTGCGGTCAAACTGCTTGTTCGCCAGCGCACGGACGAGGGCCTGGTAGTCGGCGGCGGTGGCGCCAAACGTGTCACGCACCTGCTGGTCAATGTTCAGGCTGATCAGCTTCTGCACAACGGGGAAGTTTCTGTTTGGGAGGGCGTAATGCAACGCCGTGCGCCCGTATGCGTCGCGGTCGTTCACGTTGAAGTGCTGGCCTTGCTGCACAAGCAGGTTGTCTGCACATGCACGCATTGCGGTGGTGGTGGTGGTGATGGTGACAGTGGTGGTGGCAGTTGTGAGATGACAACAGCATGGATGCATGCACACGTTTCACATGAAGGCTTCGGACAGGCGCGTGTATGTGTGTGTCTGCGTGTGTGTGCGTACATTGGTGTGTGCACTGTTGTGCAGGCGCACACACGTGCACAAAAAAAATGACACACGGACAGGCACGCGTACCGGTACATACGTGCACATGTACATATCAACACGCGCATATATGTGCAGGCACACAACTGACATGCGAGGGTGGCGTGGCTGTCGAGGCCGTTTGGGTTCTTGATGGAGCGGTGTGAGCAGCCGAGGGCAGCGAGCATCACCGCCGTGGCACCGTGGCGGTCCCGTGCCGTCAGGTCAGCGCCCAGCTGGGCAAGATAGGCAACGGCAACGGCGCGCCCGTACGCAGCAGCAACGTGCAGTGGCGTCTGCCCGGCAAGCGAGGGCTGGTGGATGTCAAAACCATAGTGGTGCACGCGCGCAATGGCGTCGCGGTGGCCGCCGAGCGCGGCACAGTGCATGGCCGTGTGGCCGTAACAGTTGGTGTCCGTCAACAACAGACCCTAAGATCACAGTGTGCAAAGTAACAACGTGAGCAGTGATGGGGGGGGTTGAAAGGGTTACATTGCCATGCATGGGAAGAATATACAGTTCGTGTGCACAACCTTCGCCGTGCATGTGTGTATGACGAAACCCCTTTCCCCGTTCCCTCCTCTATTCCCACACACACACACACACACACACACACAGACACACACACACACACACACACACACACACACATGGACACGCACCTGGGCCTTGAGCCATGTCATGACTTTGATGGCGCCGCCAAAGCAAGCGAGCATAAACGGGGTGTTGTTGAAGGCATCGCGGTCCCGCAGGCTGAAGCCGCGGTGGGAGAGGTACGCCACAATCTCCTGGTGGTTTCGGAAGGCCGCCACCATAAGCGCGTTCTTGCCGCACTTGATAGTAGAGTTGCGCGGTGCGCCGTTGCGCAGGAGAAAGTCAACGACGTTGAGGTGGCCGTAGAAGGTTGCGGACAGCAGGGGGGTGCCGCCGCACTGGTGCACCACTTCGTCCAGCTTCGCGCCGGCAAACACGAGCGGGGCAACGTCTGGCAGGGATGGGCGGAAGTCGTCCTGCCCAATGAGCTCTTGCAGTCTGGCGAGAGCGCATGCCAACAAGGAGAGGGGAGGGGAGAAGGTGAGGTGTGCAAGTGTGCGGGAGTGTGTATGTGTGTGTGTGTGTGTGTGTGTGTGTGTGTGTGTGTGTGTGTGTGTGTGTGTGTGTGTGTGTGTGTGTGTGTGTGTGTGCAAGTGCAAGTGTGTGTGCAAGTGTGTGTGAGTGTGTTTGTATTGCGAGGACGTGCTCGCGTTTTGCACATGGGGGCGTACTTTCTGGTGTAGGCGATTGGGGAGCGTTCACAGCCCCATTGGTGTTCACACACATCCCGCCAAACACGCTGTTGTTTCAAGATCATCCGCCTATTATGTGTGTGCGCGCAAGGGCGTCACGCAAGCGGGGGCAAGCCAGGGGAAGGGGGGGGGGGACAAACCTCCATGTCAGTGAAGCATTGTGGAAGGGGGTATGAAGCATACACATCGAGTCCAAACCACGCCAACACACGCACTCAAAATATGGATCAACAAACACAACCACGCGGGTGCACACAATGCTTGTGCACACACACACACACACACACACACTCTCTCTCTCTCTCTCACACACTCACACATTCTCACACTCACACTCACCAAGAGCGGCAGACTTGGGCCATGACACCGAGGGTAATTGGGTCGTCACGGAGAAAGTAGACAATGCGTTCGATAAGTTCTTGTGGAAGGGCGGCAAGGGATGTGGTGTCTTGGCACGACGCAGGCATGAAATGCTGGAGGTCAGTCTCAAACTGGCTGTCGTTGCCGTGTTGCTGCTGGTAGCGCTTGCGCATGAGCTTGAGCATCCCTGCGAGCATGTGGCGTGGGTCTGGACCAAACAGGTTCTCGGCAATGCACACCAACGACGTCTCCAAGCACTCCTTTGGCAGCTGTGCCGTGGCTTTCGCGCACATGTCGTTCATCGGTCCAGAAGACATGATGCTGCTGAAGACGTGCTTGTTTGCTTGGTTGCGGTTGTGTCTTGTCTGGGTGCTGTGTTTTGGTGAGCCTTGCTTCTTGCTTGTGCGTGAGTCGCGTGTGGTGTGCGTGTCGTCTCTATCTGACACACACAAGAGGGGAGACACAGCGAGTTAAGGGCTTGTTGTCTCTGTGCTTGGTACAGGACAAGTGTGTAGCTGCGACTCAACTCAAAAACAAAACAAACCAACCGAGCAAAGGGCGCAAGTGCTCGCTTCTTGCTTTGCTTGAGTGCTTGTGTGGTGTGAGGTGTGGGGGTGCGTGAGCGAAGGAGGTGGTGCAGGCAACGACAATGCGCAGCGCGGGACACACCGCAAAGAAGAAGCAAAGATGCGCGAGGCAAGCAAGAAAGCCGAGCAACACCGCTTGCACGTCAGCCCTCCGAATTATGACGCTCCAAGCAAATTATGTAAAAGTTTCCACCAAAATTCGGCTGGCTGTGTTGCGCACGTAAGATGACTGCATGCTTGGTGGGTGGCGCAATCAATCGCTTGTGCTGTGGATGTGAGCGACTGGAATGGATGACGCCATATGCTGCCGAACGCGTTTGTACACCAAGAAGCCAAGAAATGACGCCGTGACAGTTGTGATATGATTTTGCCCTGTTGTTCTGTTGTTGCATCCTGCGTGCGAGTACACGCGGTGTGTGCGTGCGCGCAGGCGCGCGTACATCACATGTGCGTGTTTGGCGCTGACCTGATGATGCGCATCATCAGAAAGCAGTCAGCGAGTCTCGGTCATATCGTCAGATGAGGAGATGGTTTACGCAGGCCTTGCTGCCTTGGCAGCCAGCTTGATGCAGCACAGCTCAACACGCTGTTACAGCACAGAACTGCCGAACGGAAAGAGGCAGCAACGCAGCAAAGCGAAAATATATACACGCTGGCAACACATGTGATCCTCTGAAACATAAAACCTTGACATGGGCGAGTCGAGCTAGATAGACAGGAGACGAACACAACAACACAGCAGCAGGTAAGTCGCTGACTGAAGCAGACAGGGGAAGGAAAGGCAGAAGGAGGGTGCCAAGAGGAGAGGTGGAGAAGAAGTGAAGCAATCTCCGCGACACCACAGCATCGCGCACAGCGATACCAGCAACGAAAAAAAACAACAGGATCATCAGATGTAGTGAAAAAAAAAAGTAGGGTCCGTGGAAAGAAAGGATAATAGCAACATACATAGTCAATCAAACACTCGCACACGCACACTCGCATGCATCATCTGTGTGCGTGGTTGTGTGTGTATGAGTTAACATAAACAAGCAGACAAGCATAGGCAAGTCGACTCGTGCAATGGCAAGCATGATAGGCACAGTCAACCAGCATTCAGAAACAAATCGACACAGCCACTGAAGCCCAGCGGATGGTTGTCTGAAGTGATGTCGAGCGGGTGGGCTACAAAGTTGTTGCTTGGATGATATCCACTCGAAGGCTGCTGACCCCCCACGGCGGCTTCTCGCCCGCGCCAACAAAGGCCAGCTTCTGCTGCTGAAGCTCCTTCCTCTGCCCAAAAGTACGCATTGCACCGAAACAACGACAACAGTGAACACAGTAGCAGTAGCAGCAGTCGCAGTCGCAGTCGCAGTTGCATGCGTGTCAGATCGGATGTGAGCAGAGTTATCGCGTGCACACCGTTACCGTGCTCACGTGCACTTCACGAGCACACGCACGCAAACCAGCCAAAAGGAGAGATGACACAAGGGTACAACACGGTCCTCTTCTCAGGCCAAACACAGCGCGCACCTTGCGGAAGAAGCGCTGTATACTGATGGCGGCCTGCGTGCGCAGGAGCTTCTGCTTCGTTGTGAGCGTAAACGGCTGCAAGCGGCGGCGCGGAAAGCGGCGGTTGAAGCGCTCCTGAATTCGATCCTCCAACTGCACCGCAGAAGAATAGGGAAACGGGGAGAACGAAGAAAGGGGTGATGTCATGGAAAGTGGCACAGGACGTGAGTCACTGCAACAGCAGCAGCGAGGAATGTAAAGGTCATCAACACGCACGCACACACACACACACACACACACACACACACACACACACACACACACACACACAAGCAAACACAGAGCGGGAGGACAACGGCTGACCTGGACAAAGTCATTAACGGTGAGGGACTGCTCGTCAACATCGTGTGTGAGGTAGTGGCGGACGAGCGCAAACAGCACATCGAGGCAGTGAGTCCGGTCATCTTTGGTCAAGGGCCTGCAGCAACGCACGGAAACAAACAACGCGACAGGCATTACCACTAGCTCGTTAGGAACACATACGTAAACGTCACGTGCAGCATAAACACGACTCACACGCACACACGCGTACACACGCGTACACAAACACACACACGTACATGTCGAGGCTGTCGATTTCCTCCTGCGTGGCGTCTGGAAGACCAAGCGGCGCCGACAGGCCAGTCACGAGCGAATGCACTTGCTCGTGCGCAATGAACTGCGTTGCGTGCGGGTCAAATTGCGCCCACCTAAACCCATGCACACATACACACACGCACACGCGCATGCATGATCAAGTCAGTGCCATTGCCAGCAAGGAAACCCACCCACACACACACACGCACACACACACACACACACACCATGTGTAGCACAATGGCACACGTGCAACGCTCGGCACCATGGCATCGCAGCCGCACCTCTCATAAAACTCGTCAAGACTTGCATCCGTGACAAAAGTGTCCGCAAGCTCCTGAGCAACCTCCAAGTGCTCCAAAATGACGGCAATGAAGATGTTGATGATGATCAGAAACATGACCATGGTGTAGATGGAGAAGAACAGCTGCGCCGCGATGGGGTTGCCTGGGGTGTCGGCACATGTTTAAGTTGTTGTTGTGTAAGTTGTTGTGTAAGTTGTTGTGTAAGTTGTTGTTGTTGTTGTTGTTGTTGTTGTTGTTGTTGTTGTTGTTGTTGTTGTTGTTGTTGTTGTTGTTGTTGTTGTTGTTGTTGTTGTTGTTGTTGTTGTTGTTGTTGTTGTTGTTCCCACAAAGTCGTAAGCTCAAGATTAGCCAACCACACACACGCAAACATACACACACATACACACGCGCACACGCGCGCGCGTCGTCAAGGACATTGCACGAACAAACAGAGCAAACGCGCACCGCAGTTGCCGTTTGGAAGGTCGAGGTAGTCTGGATCGCAGTCTGGTGGCTGTATGGAGTACGCATCGACAATCTCGTTCCATCCCGCAGCAGTCATCAGCCGAAACAGCAGCACCTTTTGCAGTAGGGAAGCAGTCAAGTGGCAGGGATATCGTGGCAATGTCACGCTTATGTTTGCACAACAGGAAACGCACCATGTAGCACACGACACCCACACACCCACACATGCATGGCGCGCACACACACACACACATACATACATACATACATACATACATACATACATACATACATACATACATACATACATACATACATACATACATACATACATACATACATACATACATACATACATACACACATACATACATACACACATACATACATACATACATGCATACATACACACACACAGTGCATACCATTGTGTTGCCAAACGACTCCATGTTGACGCGGCTGTTGATGGGTCCGTTGTGCACGACGTGTCCAAACAGGGACAGCGCAATGATGCAGAAGATGAACATGATGACAAACAGCAGCGTCATGACGTTGAATAGCGATGGACCTGCATACAGGATGGTGGTCAGGAGGGTGCGGATGCTCCGCATGCGCTTGATCAGGCGTGCCAGCCGCGCAAGGCGAAGAATACGTAGCATTCGCAGCAGCGTGGGGCTGATGGGCAGGGACAGTGACAGCGACGCCAGCACCACGTCCAGCAGCGACACGCACGCAATGACAAAGTCAAAGATGTTCCAGCCCGTTTGGAAGTACACCTTGCCAAAGGCAAACATCTTGAGAACCGCCTCCATACAAAATGCCGCCGTGAAGAAGACGTTCAACACGTACAGCACAAGCGTCCATGTCTCAGACTGGTTGTTATGTTCCAGTGCCAGCACAATCGTGTTCACAGCGATCAGCGCAAGGATGCCCAGCTCAAACCACTGCGCAGTCACCAGGCGAAACACAAACTTCCGGAAGGGTGACTTGGGCTCCACCTTCTTCACAGGCTTGCGGTTTGCAATGGCGCGAACCATGTCCAAGAAACGCCGCTGCGCTTTTGTCAACAGGACATTTCGTCCACCGTCCGCCAGCTCCTGATGCATCGTGTTGAAGTTGTCGATGATGACACCGATGAAGAGGTTCAGCACGAAGAACGCCCCGAGCACAACAAACACGACAAAGAAGAAGAATGCCGGGAACTGCGCCTCAAACTTTGGCTGCAGGTCGACGCCGCGCGCATCAGCAGCGGCCTCCATCACCTCAATCCACCCTTCGAACGTCGCAACCTGTTGCACATGTACAGGTGCGTCGATTGCGACGTGAGTGTGCACATGGGGCATGAGGTCGCCGGCATTGGTGGCGGTCAACGTGGTGGTGGTGGTGGTCAACGTGGGTTGCAGTTGGAACAGGCAACAGATATATCACAATACACAACGAAATGAACATGAACATGTGCATCCACACGCTGTAATCAGGGGCAAGCAAACGCGCCCCCACTCCCAACTGCACGGCCATCGCGCGACGGTCCCCTTTCAGCCAAAACAACGCGGCAATACCTGGAGGAGAGCGACGTAGCCGTTGAGGACGTTGTCGAAGTTGACGTTGAGGTTCGACCACCGATACCCTGTTGCCAACAAGCAGTGGTGTGTGTGTGTGTGTGTGTGTGTGTGTGTGTGTGTGTGTGTGTGTGTGTGTGTGTGTGTGTGTGTGTGTGTGCGTGTGCGTGGATGAGGGCGAGAGTAGATGTGAGGAAGCCAGAGCAAACACCATCAGCAGACAGCGTCCATGCACGGGCACTGGACACATTAGGCACGAGCAAGGAACAGAACAGGGGTGGGATACAAACCAATTACCACAGATATACGCACACACAGGTGTGCACAAGCATGTGGCTGCCACGACTGGGGAAAACAAGCCGACCTTGGTCTGTCATGCTGAGGCACTGCGTTTTGTTGTTGACAATGAGGTGTGAGACCATTTCGCCATCCGCGTCGAGACAGCGGGCAAACGTGCCGCCAAACAGCTGCACGCCGAGGATGCTGAAGATGAGCCAGAACAGCCCGCACACGAGCAACACGTTGCTGATGGCGGGGATGGACCGGATGAGCGACGAGGCGACCACGCGCATGCCCTCCCACCGCGGGATGGCGCGCAGGGGGCGGAGGGCTCGCATCGTACGCAGCACACGCAGCGATACGACGTCGCTCGACGACAGGATAACACCCAATGCAGACGCAACCACCACGACAAAGTCCATGCAGTTCCAGCCCGAGCGGAAGTATGCGCGTGGAGAGAATGCAACAATCTTCAGAACCGCCTCCAGCGAGAAGATGACGAGGAAGATGATGTCAAACACAAACAGCAGGTGCTGCAGGTGTGGTTTGTTCGTCAAGCTGTAGTGTGTGCGTGTGTGCGTGTACCCAAACATGATTGTGAGGTGGTAGGACAAAAGCGAACAGGCAGGAAGGAGACAGGTCAGCCGAAGGGCTGGCACACGAGAGTTTGCTGATCGTCGCCGAAAACGCGTGCCTGTGCAATTACGAACCTGGAGTCTTCAAACGCGAGAAGCAAGCTGCTGACGATGACGACCACCTGTTGTGCATAACCCAAACAACGTCGACGCAGCACAAAGTACACACGAGTGGTCGAGGCGCCACGTGAGGGTTTTTCACACAGACACATGTACAACACGCGCACAAGCACATCCGCCAACGTCACGTGCCCAACACGTGCACAACAGATGCGCACACACACACACATAAAGAACACACACACACACATAAAGGAACACACACACACACACACACACACACACACACACACACACACACACACACACACACACACACACAAAGGAACACAGGTGACAACTGACGAGGATGGAGTAGTCGAATATCGGGTGCTCGACGAGCGTGCGGAGGCGGCGGCGGTATCGCGGCATCACAGCAGCGGCTCCGTCCCCAGCTAGCATCGCAACAGTATCCACGGTGCCACGCTCGCTGTCCGTGTCCTGTGAGGAGGAAGGCCAAATGAGCGCGTGAGTTGCATCTCAATGTGAAAGCTGTCACAATCCCCCCGCGTGTCACCATTGGCACACAATGAAGCAAGCACAGGCCTACCAAAGCGTACACACCGTCCACACGAGCATACCAAGCTCACCCTAAGCTCACCCTAAGCACACACACACACACACATGCACGGTGTGCAAGCTTACCCAAGCCGTTGTTGGTGTGGGCACGACAGTTGGCTCCTCAACCAGCGTCACCTGCTTGCCTTGCATCCTCTTCTGTGGCAGAGACGATGCTCTTGAGATTGTGTCGTCGTCGCTACTCTCATTGCTCTTGCCACCCCCGTGCCTGTGGACTGCCCATCTCCCTGTCATGTCATGATCGACGTCCTCATCACTGTCGTCGTTGCTGTCTGCACCAAACTTGGCCTTTGGGCTCGACAGAAGGGCTGCCTGGTTGGCGCCCACCCTGAGGAAGCCCTCGTTCACCGCCATCACACCGGTGCGTGCAGCATCGTGTCCAAACGGTGATGGTGCTCTCAACTTGGAACGAGCACCAGCATCACCAGCGCCCCTGTGCGCGCGCGCATCTGAGTCGACAACACTGGTGCTTGTGGGGTCAGCGCCGTCTTCACTCCACACGTGCTTGATGACATTCCTCGAACCGGCTTTCGTTGCCTTGATCGTCTCCATGCTCTGCAGCCGCTGCTCTGTCGAGACTGGCTGCCTGCTTGCTTTGCCACGCGTGCCAATACCATTCACACGTATACTCTGAGCTGTGCTGCTGCTGGAAGTGCTGCTGGAAGTGCTGCTGGAAGTAGCATCGTTATGATGGGCGGTAGGCGCGCGGCGTTGCTCTGCATGACCATCGTCCCCAAGAAAAGATGACTCCATCACGTGTCCTGGAAGCGTGCGGTTGTCGCCACGCTGGGTCAATGAAGACGCCGCCGCCGACGACGACGACGATGATGATGATGGTGATGATGATGTCAACGATGGTGATGAGGAAGGACGCATCTTCGTCGTGGCTCGACTGCTAGCGTCGCCAAATTCGCCTTCAACCTCAACTGCGTGCTTGATTGTCCACGGCCTCTGCTTCGCTCTCGCATCTCCACCCATGTCCTCATCATCAGCGACTGCGAACGTATTGGAAACACACGTTGAGCGGCGGCGGCGCGGGAGAGCGTGCAACATCTCTCCATCCCCGCCATCAGCATCTTTGCCCAGCTCGCCACTATCATCACTGTGCTGCTGACTGCTGGAGAAGGAAGATTCGCTCTCTGTTGCGACGGGTTCGTCTGCGGTGACGGGGCGCGAGGAGACGTTTGCGTTCTTCGCAACGGCATCAACGAGCTTCTGCACGTCAAAAGCCTTGAGCAGAAGCGCGAGGAAGAGATTGAGGATGATGAAGTTGGTGCAGATGAGAGCGGCCACGTAGTAAACGACCGCACCGTTGCCAGCAACGCGCGCGGTATCCCACAGCAACTCAATCCATTCGCAGCACAGCACCCGGAACACAACCAGGAATGCGTGCCAAAAGTCCTGGGCACACAGATTGACGCGTGAGGGGAACAGTGAGTGGTGCACAAAGACAAGACAGACAGCAAGAGGCGGTGCTGAAAAGAGACCGAGGTACACACGCACACATACACACGGAGAGAGAGAGAGAAACAGAGAGAGCGCGCAAGAGGAGGGAGAGACAGAGACAGAGACAGACAGAGAGAGGCAGGGAGAGAGGCACAGACAGACAGAGAGAGAGGCACACGTGTACACACATTCACACATTCACACATTCACACATTCACACATTCACACGCAATCACAGCAACACACCTTGAAGTTCCACCGCGGGACGGCGCCATCAAAGTTTTCCTCCGTGTATTTGTTGGCAAAGAGGGCCATACCAATTGCAGAGAAGATGTACATCATGATCAGCAGTACAACGGTGAGGTGGCCAAGGCTGTTCAGGCTCTCGTGAATCACATTCAGCAGCTTCGCCATCGTTTGCCTGCAGACATAGCGGCAGTCGTGCAGACATCGCGGATGTATTGAGTGACACGAGCTGCCTGCGTGAGTGAAGGGCGACAGCGTGCCGTGACAACACGGTCGAAACATGCAGCAAGCAGCAGCAGCGAGCAAGAAGAAAACACGGCCCTTGCTGACAAACGCACAGCACGCACGCCCATATACAACAACACAACACAACACAACACAACACAACACAACACAACACAACACAACACAACACATACGCACCAGGACTGTGCGAGGCGGAGGACGCGCAAGAGGCGGAACGAGCGGAAGATGGAGAGACCGTTGGAGGCGACAACACCGGACAGACTGATGACAATCTCAATCAGAGACACAATAACGACGACAAAGTCGAATCGGTTCCAGTCCCTCTCAAAATATGCCCGCGCGCCCGAACCAAGCAGCTGGGCAACACCACACAAGATGAGGAGTGAACGTGTGAGCAGTGCAGATGGGGGGGGGGATATCGAAAAGAAGCAGCAACGCTCAAGAATCAGCGCTTTGCAAGCGTTTGCATTTATGCCGATCGCAGAGCGCACAGCATCACCACAAATGCATAGAAGCAGCAACAGACAGAAGGACAGACAGACGAACGGACGAACGCACACACGCGCATCCATACACAAACACACACGCACGCATGGAGACACACACACACACACGCATGGACACACACATACACGCACAAGCAGACACACAAACACACGCAAACTCTCTCTTTCCTTCTTTCAGTACACACATTATCTGCTCACCTTAAGCATGGCTTCGGCAACGAAGATGGCTGTCCAGACGTAGTTGCAGATGGTCAGGGCGGCTTGCAAGTCGGCCGGCATTGTTGGATAGTACAGGGCGAGGGTGATGGTATTGAGGATGATGGTGATCATGATGAACCAGTTGAAGTAGGACGACGACACAACTGTCTCCATGCGTTGCCGCCACCGTGGAAGCTGCATCACTTCGCTCGTGCTCAACCCAGTCGCTTCCGCCAAATTCAAACGAGAGAACTGCGAGAAGTAAGTGTTGGTGCGGCGCAGCGTGCGGTTCAACACATCCAAGTCGATGGCTTGCGTCAGCGAGCCTGCACGCATGGTTTCCTGCGCCCATGTCTGTGATTGGAGAAGATCAACGGTTTCCGTGTACTCATCTGTTGCCTCGATCTAAGAGTGACAACAAAGTGAAGGCGCGAGCAAGCGAGCAGCAATGTAAGGTCCCAGGAGCAGTGCAGGGATGCACGCGCATGCATCCATGAAGGTACAGCTGTATGACACGTGCGCTCAGAAACGTACACACGCACATACACACATACACACACAGTCACACACACACACACATACACACACACGTGTTCAGCACGAGTGGGATTGTGCGTACCTCGCGCCCGTATGCCTCGACAACGACAGCGAGGACAAGGTTGACCATGAAGTAGTGCCCGAGAAACACAACAAACACAAAGTACCACACAGCGTGCTGGCCCATAGCTGCAAGCACTTTGTCGTACGTGTTCTCCCAAAAGTCGAGCAGCATGACCTGTGTGTTTCCACGGTTGTGTGCACATGCCAGTGTGTAAGCATGCGTATGTGTGAATTGAAGGTGAGGGAAAAGATGGTTGTCCCATGGGAAAAGAAGAGCAGCTTGGTAAGCGTGTTTGTGGGTGCATGTGCAAAGCCCAACATGTGAAGCCGCGAACAATGCAAGATATGCCGCCGCAAGTGCTGCATGTTGGTTACCTGTAGCGTGACCAGTAACGCGGGCGCAAAGCTGTCGAAGCTTGTGAATCCATAGTCCGGGTTTTCGCCCACATCCTGCACGCACGTGTAGTTGGCGCCACAGTGGCGGGCAGTGTGGTCGCTTCCGCACAGCTGGTAGCCTGCACACGCAATCACGCGAGAATGAACGCGAAATCACGCGGAAGCAAACATGCAAATGCGCAAACGCAGGACTCTCCTGGTGAGCTGCATCAGCTGAGATGGATGCAAACACTGTGACGATCAGCAGTAGATGTGAGCGTGTGTTGTGTGCAGCTCTCGGCCAGGCGTGTTGCACGCACCGCTGTTGTCCAGGAGCCAGTAGCTGGAGTTGAGCAAGGCGTCACCGATCGCAGGTTCTGCCACGCACTTGCGGCTCAGAACACCTGTGCGTGCATGTAAGTGTGTGTGTGTGTGTGTGTGAGTGAGTGTATGTGTGAGTGTGCGTGTGTGTGAGTGTGCGTGTGTGTGTATGCGTGTGTGTATGTGTGTGTGTGTGTGCGTGTGCGTGCGAGTGGGTGTGAAAACGTAGACAAGTCCCGGGGGCGTATCTGTACATGGATACCCGCGCACAACAACACGCGCTGTCTGCTACAGCAACACACACGCAGGCAAGATCGGGCTGCACCTGAGAAGAGCTGCAGGCCGAGGATGGAGAAGACGCAGAGGACGAGGACGAAGATGATGAGGACGTTATGGAGGCCTTGCATCGTGCGCAGCAGCGCATTCACAATCAGCTGCAGATGCGGTAGCGCTGCGCCGTGCACGCACATGCACGCAATCACATGGTCATGATGGTCAAGGTTCAGCGTGAGTTGCATGCAGCGCGTGGTGACTGTGAGAGTGAGTGAAGCATGTGCAGTGTGTGTGCGTGCGTGCGTATGTGTGTGTGTGTGTGTGCGTGTGTGTGTGTGTGTGTGCGTGTGTGTGTGTGTGTGCGTACGTGTATGTGTGTGTTGTGCTCGCCCGGTTTGGTTTGTACCTGAGACGGTGCGAAGGGCGCGAAAGACGCGAAAGACGCGAAGCGATGTGTAGTTCCCCAGCCTGGGACTGAGGGTCAGATAGCTGTTGGCAGCCGGCATGTAACGGCCGTGTAACGGGTGTATTTCGCATGAGTCCCCAGCCGTTCGAAGGCAAACCACGTACAAACATCACCCGTGCGCACCAGCTGCTTGATTGCAGCACAAGATATCCCCCTGGCGCACGCAAGGCAAAGGAAGGGGACGTACGCGAAGATGACGACGACAAAGTCGAGCCAGTTCCATGTGTTCCGCAAGTATGCATATGGGTGCATGACGAAACCGAGGGCAATGATCTTTCCCACCATCTCCAGCGTATAGATGGCAGTAAACACATACCTGTCGTGAGTGTGGTGTTTGGGCACGCACGGCGAGGGAGGAACAGATATGAGGTCAGAAGTGGAGGGTATGATGGACATGGTCACGGAGGAGGTGGTTGTGATGATGATGATGATGATGATGATGATGATGATGATGATGATGATGATGATGATGATGATGATGATGATGATGATGATGATGATGATGATGATGATGATGATGATGATGATGATGATGATCAATCATGTGTCATGTGAGCATGTACTTGTACAGAGTGTGAAGGTGTGTGCTTATCGTACTCTGCTTCGTCCGGTGGATTGCTCAGGACAATGAAGACGCAGTTGACTAGGATGGCCAGAAGGATGAAGTAGTTGAAGGCGGTGCTCGTCTCAATGTACCTGGGGTACAACGACAATAGCCACAGCCAACAGCACGTCACACGGTGAATAATCCACTAGCTGGGATTAGAGCAACCACTAGGAGCGCCAACTCCCGCGTCAGCACAGCCCGAGGTTGTGTGTGTGTGTGTGTGTGTGTGTGTGTGTGTGTGTGTGTGTGTGTGTGTGTGTCTGTGTTGTGTTGTGGTTGCCTGGACTCACTTGATGCAGAAGTGGCGAATCGGGTTGTCAACACCGAACAGGAACAATGATTTGCCTTTCCAGATGAAGTGTGTGCACTCTTCGCCAAACGTCACGCGGGGGAGCTGTTTGCATTGTGCATGAATTGGTGTAGTGAGGGTATGCATGAATGTGTGAATGGATGGACGCTGACGCTTGTCGGTTCGTAGGGTTGCGCACAAAGAGGAAGAGCAGATGCATCGAGCACACACACACAGACACACACACACACACACACACACACACACACACACACACACACCTGATGAATGTTGGAGGCTGTCGTGTCGTGTGGCTCCTCATTAACCTGATCTTGGGCGGGGACACCCTGTCGAGTCCACCATCGTTCGCTCGCTGGCCTGCTGCAGCCACGAGTGTCAGGGCTGGCCGACATACTCAGAGGGACAACTGCAACAACTGTGGGGCGCAGCCCCTGCACTCATGCCAACACTGCAGCACTCCCCTTCCGTGTATGTTGGCTGTTAATTCTCGAGCACGAAGTCGCTGTGGTACATGCGCATTCGTGGCGTGCTCCAGCTGCAACCCCCTTGTGCATATATTGGTGTGAAGGTGAAACGCGCTCCACTGCACGGTTGAACGGTGGGAGGAGCGTGTTGTTTGGTCGTTGTGGTCGCGATGGTGAGTGAAATTCGTAAAAATGATGAAAGCTCAGTGGGGTGGTGGAAGTTGTGTGCATGTGGATGTGGTGTTGTGTATGTGGGTGTGATGTGTTGATGAGCATGTGCATGTGGTGATGTGCGTGTGTGTGGGTGTGTTGTGTCCTCTTAACGCTCACGTCACTTTGACATACATTGGCCGCACAGCATATGAGTGTCTTTGGTTGGTTGGTTGGTTGGTTGGTTGGACAACAAGCACTGAGAAGCAAAGGAAAGAAAAAGAGAGCGGCAAGACACACAGAGACAAGCACGCACACGAACACACAGCAACAAGAGAGGCAAACGAGGGAACGGGAAGACACATGGATGACTGCAACGTGTGGGTGTCCATGATGACGTGAGACAGCACAACACGGTCGCATTGTACACCGCAGCAGCGCCTACGAGATACAAGCTTGCCGAGCAAGCAGCACGAGAAGAAGACGGAGGAGGAGGACCGACAATACGAACAGAACTGTGCGCTTAAAAACAAACAAAAGAAAGAAAACCAGGAAGGAAGGAAGACAGGAACATGAAGGAACAAGTGGGAGAGGGGCAGCCGTATCTCAAACTCACAGACACACGGGCACTAAGTGGTCGTAGCAACCCAGACACGCACGACCAACACAAGCACGATCTCAAAGCCTCGTTACAACATCACAGTCACGCCATCACGTGTCACAAACAACACAAAACGAAGAGAAAGAATGCATCACAGCAGCCGCAGCTTGGCCATGCAACCATTCAAAACATCGTATTGTGTTGCGCAACACCGCAGTGCGACTGGGAAAAGCGATGCAAAGAGGAACATGAACGGGCGCAAGTGCAGGAGGCAAAGACAGGGAAGGGGGCAAGAGGACGGAGAGAAGGGGAGACGGGTGGAGGCTGAAAGGGGAGGGATGCAGGGGAATTGGGGTCGGTTAAGCAGAGGCGGACGTCCAGATGTCCTTGTCCAGGTTCTTCAACTTGACAACGATGATGCTGACGTTGTCGGTGCCCTCGTGCGTGTCGATGCAGTGCTCCACAAGGCTCTTCGACAGGCCGTAGATGCCCTTCTTCCCGTCGTCCTTGTGTGCCTCCTCCCACTCCTTGATGAACGACACAACCTGCACAGCGTGGCGTGTGCACGTGAGTGTGTGTGTGTGTGTGTGTGTGTGCATGTGTGTGCGTGTATGTGTGTGTGTGTGTGTGTCAGCTGAAGGGTGGACAATCAAGGGACAGCGTATGTGTCAAATACCATGTGCGTGATGCGCACAACATGTGCACAAGATGCACACCCGCGCGTGCGAAACGCAGCGCACCTTCTCCTTCTCCATAAAGTCCCAGAGGCCGTCGCAGGCAAGGATGAGGTACTCGCAGCTGGCATCAAGGTCCTGCTCCACAATGTCCGGCAGGGCTGGCACCACGCTCTTCAAATTCATGTCGCCAAAGGACCTGACACGGGCGCAAGCGAAAAAAACAACCATTGGGCGTGCGAGTTAGGTTTGTGTGAGTGTGTGTGAGAGAGAGAGAGTGTGTGTGTGTGTGTGTGCGTGCGTGCGTGTGCGTGCGTGTGAGTGTGTGTGCGTGTGTGTGAGTGTGTGTGTGAGTGGGAGAGACACAGAGACACAGAGAGACAGACAGAGAGAGAGAGAGAGAGAGAGAGAGAGAGAGAGAGAGAGAGAGAGAGAGAGAGAGAGAGAGAGAGAGAGAGAGAGAGAGAGAGGGAGAGAGAGAGAGAGAGAGAGAGAGAGAGAGAGAGAGAGAGAGAGAGAGAGAGAGAGAGGAGGAGGAGACGATGGAATTGTCGATGGGATTGTCATGGATGTCTATGTTATTCGTCGCAGCGTGACATCGCGGAACAACAAGATCGTAGCGAGGCACGCGTGCGTGCCTGCACGTCGACCGTGTTTGAGCACCTTGAGACGGCGAGCATGGCGTTGACGCGCCAGGTGCCCATGCGGCTGCAGCACAGGCCAATCGATGATGATGATGATGATGATGGTGGTGGTGGTGGTGGTGACAACAGCATTAGAAGTAGATTGGGCAATGCATGAGCACAAACACGTCAGCATTGGGTAATTTGGGTGCGTGACGGAAGTCACGCATGCAAGACACCAAGCGCAGCACACGCACGCACACACTCACACACACTCACACGCACACGCACACGCACACGCACACGCACACGCACACGCACACGCACACAAACATGACGCCTTGCAAATAAAGGCGACGTACTTGATGACAATTCCGCCGGCGTCGGCAATGCGCTTCTTCTCGTCTTCGCGCTGCAAGCACATGAGAGTGTGCGTGTATGTGTGTGAGTGTGCGTGTGTGTGTCACAGTTTGCGTGTATGACAGAAAGGCGACGGGAGCTGTCGTGGTCTAATGGAATGGGGGAAGAATGAGGAGTGAAAACATGCAAGCCAGACACGTGAGCACGTAACAGTGCAGCTGGACAGCAACATCACCTCTGGCTTGTGTGGTTCTGTCAGGTGATGCGGCTCGCCGTTCTTGATCAGCATCGCCTGCACATTGTGCATCACACACACACACACACACACAAACAAACAAACAAAAAAAGAATAATCAAGCAACGCGGCGTGAGCAAACAGTGAGTTGCAGCCGCGTGCGTGTTTTCATGTTCTTGCAGGCACTCCTTTGTGCGCATGCACTCGCGTGCACACAAGCAACCAGCACACACGCACACACGCACAATGCTGGTTGCATATGGAACAGCAACAGACCTGTGAGTCGCCGGCCCATGCGAGGTACAGCTTGCGCCCGCGCACAAACGCAACAACCGCCGTTGAGCCCGAGCGAAGTGCCTGCAGAGAGGTGTGTGTATGTGTGTGTGGGGGGGGGGAGGATAATGAGACACGACACGCACGCACAAGCACACAAGCACACACACGCACGCACACGCACACGCACATACACACACAGACACGGCGAAGCAACCCACCTCACGGTCTGCCTTTGCCTCGAAGCTCTTGTCGGTGGAGAGAAACGCCTCGTGCAGGGCCTTCTTGATGTCCGTGTGGAAGTCGGGGTGCGCGGCAATGTTGTGGTGCAGGTGGGCCTGCACGTACTTGGCCGTCTCGTACCCGCCGTGCCCATCGTACACGGCAAAGAACGCCTGGGGCTCCGTGCCCGCAGGCTGCTCAAGCACGTAGGTGTTGTGTGTATGTGTGTACGTACGGGTGTGTGCGCGTGCGTGTGTGTGTGCGAGAGAGAGCGTATCAAGATGAGCATGATACGTCGTCCTCAAGACAAAACAAAGCGCAAGTAGCTCGGTTGCATCGTGTGACTCAGCAGCAACAGCAACAGCAGCAGCACCACCACCACCACGCGACGTGGGTTGTATTGCCCACCTGGTCCATCATGTTGTTGAAGTCTTCCATGATGACGTGGCGGTCCTCCATTCGCACGCGCCGACCTGAGCCATGGTGTAGGTGGTCGAAGTGAGCGGGGAACAGCCACGGCTTCTATCATACCCTTGCGCGGCCCGGGTGTGCCCGCCCCAACATAGCACAACCACAACAAGAACAAGAACAAGAACAAGAACAAGAACAAGAACAAGAACAAGAACAAGAACAAGAACAAGAACAAGAACAAGAACAAGAACAAGAACAAGAACAAGAACAAGAACAAGAACAAGAACAAGAACAAGAACAAGAACAGCAGGGCTGTACCTCTGGAGAAGAAGACGTCGACATCAAAGCGATCGAGGGCGGTCTGGGCCTCTGGCGATGGCGACGGCTTTGCCTCGGCAAGCAGCCGGTCCACCTCTGCAACCATCTCCTTCTCAACGCGACGGTTGTTGTAGTACTTGATGCCTGCAGGCAAACACGCAGCGGACACCCACCAAGTTTGTATATGAGGACAAGGCCGAAGCGTTGTTGAAGCGTGGCTGTGCGTGCTAGCCAATATTCACGGACATCGATACGGCAAACAACGCCACAGATGCGAATGTCGTCTTGGGTGCCAAGTTCACCCTCTTTGGTTGATGCCACATGCCCACATCCAGTACAAGTCATAGAAGAGCAAGTTTTCGTTCGCCTTTCGTCTTTCCTCTCATGCTACGCACCGTCTCCAAGCTCCGGCATGGTTTCGTCGATGAAGCGCTTGCGGTCTCCACTGCAGATCTTCTCCGACGCCTTCTTGCAGATGTCGTACATCTCTGCGGGCGTGAGCTTCAGCAGAATGTTGTCTGTGTCGCCGGCGTCCATGGCCTCCCGATACCTGTACACGACAAGCACGGTGAGCATCGAGCGCACGCAAAGAGACAGAGACAGAGATAGAGACAGAGACAGAGACAGAGAGGGACAAAGACAGACAGAGACAGAGACAGAGACAGAGAGGGACAGACATATACTAGACAGCCACACACACACACACACACACACACACACACACACACACACACACACACACACACACA